GTCTATCCTGTTTGGGGTTTGTTGGACTTCCTGGATGGATATATTCTCATCTATGATCATTTCAGGGAAGTTCTCCTTCAGCAAATCTTGGGCAATTTTCTCAGTGGTTTTGTTTTTCTCTTCCTGTTCTGGAATTCCAATGACACATAAGTTATTCCTTTTGATGGAATCCCACATGATCCTTAGGCTTTCTTCATTTTGTTTTGATTTTTTTTGATTGATCCTTTTCCAAAGAAGTATTCAGGTATTTGTCTTCAGTCTCATTAATTCTTTCTTCTATCGCATCTATTCTTCTCCTTTGCCCTTCCAATGTGTTATGTATTTTTGACAATTTAGTATTAATCTTCTGAATTTCTCTCTGTAGATTTAGAATCATTTCTAATTTTTCATTTATTTTTGTCATTTTGTTCTTGTATTTTCTTCCAAAATTCTTCTAGGGTTTTTTTCTGTGTTTTCTTTGGTCTGTCTGTCAATCCTTTGAAGATACCTGAAGATAATTCTTTTGAATTCCTAATCAGAGAGTTCCAATGCTGCTTATTCCTCAGGGATGTGTTCTGAGTCCATATCCTGCTTCCTTGTTTCTACCACTTTATCCTGCTTCTTTGTGTGGACTGTGACAGTCTGTTGTCTCTGAGACATCATGGCATTTTGTATTTAGATCTCTGTTAACTCTTTGTGAAGAGCAGCCAAGGGTGATTCAGGCTCTTCTTGGTGGTTTTTTATCGTTGGCCCATTGGTGGAGAAGGAGGAAGTGGCTCTCACTCAGTAAGTGAAGTTGCAGGAGGTGTGGGTGTGGTTGTGTCTTATGGGGACTGTTGTTGTCTCCCACCATTTTTGAGTTACCTTTTATTTCCATTTAATTTTCACTTTCTACATGGTTTTCTTTCAAACCAGATTACACAATCGCAATGGTGTACTATGACTACGAAGTCCAGGTCTAATAATCTCACTGCCATTGAGTCAATTCTGACTCATTGCGACCCCCTTTGGATTTCCGAGGTGGTAAATCTTTATGGAAGTTGATTGACCATTTTACATTCTGTGAAGTGGCTGGTGTGTTTGAACCGCCAATCTTCTGGTTAGCAGTCGGATGCCTTGGGCCCTACGCCACCAGAGGTCCCATATGAACTTGTAGAAATCATAAGCAAGTAAAATTCAAATACTCAAAATTTATCCTTCTTTTTGCCATAGTTTTTTGTAACATAAATAAAGCTCACTAGTATGGTAAATCACTACCAGTATCATAAGGCTTATTAGTGTGGTAGTCACTATCAACATCATTTTTATACCAAGATTGCATTTAATAGATGATTATTTCAACATTTAAGTTGAGCCAAAAGGCGAATATCTAAAAAAAAAAAAAAAGTAAAGTCATAATTTATTATTTTTTTTTCTTTCCAGATCATGTCAAAATAATCTCAACTTTCTTTAATTATTGGATTACGCATATTCTTCCTGAGAGGAACAGTGAATAAAATCAGCACATCTATTTAAGAAGAGTTAAAATGGAACAAGAAAATACAAAGGAAAATATGAAATGGGCTGACTTAATTCCTGTGTATAAAGATGATTGCATTACCTGTTTTTTCTTTGTAACCCAAATCCTGTGAACTTTGAAGACATAGGTATCATTTTATTTATACGTGTGTTTATATATAGTAGGTCAGGTTGTCATCTGAGGCTGTAATTGAAAAATTTGGATAAATATGAAAAATTTTTCACTTATTTGCAATCGTATGTCTTGAATTACTGCAGAGAGATTCTGTTTTTCTATTTCCTATAAACATTGAAAACAGACATTCTGTTAAATTGAATAAATGGCACAGTTTGAAGCTGTTAATATTTTTGTAAAGTTTTAAATCATCCTGTATGTGAATATCTCTATTTTAAAAATGCTTTATGGAAATTAAAATGTTCTGGTGTAAGTATTTTGTTTATAGGTGAGTTTCATCTTTTTCTCCCTTTTCTACTTTGAGAATAAAAACTTTTTCTTATCTGATCTTTCTTTTTATCTTGGAAGCAGCCACTCTTGCTGTGTTTTTAAAACTCCTATTCCATTGGTACAGCCCTTTAGGCATTGGCTCTGGCAATGAAAAGTTTGAAGTGTGCATACTCTTTAACCCATTAATTCAACTTTTAAGATTTTGATCCTAAGGAAATACACAGAAGTACATGTACAGAGGTGCTCCTTGCATTGTTAATGTAGGGGGAAAAATGCAAACCACCTAAATGTTTAACCTAGGAGATTCAACAAATGAAATTTTCACAAAATGCAATAAGGTGCTGCTTTTAAAAGGAATGAGATAATGTTATGAAAAGATGTTTATGACAGACTTTGAAATGAAAAAAGTCACACAAGAGTCTTCTGCTTTTTGTAAAATCTTAAAATGTCTTTAATACACATGGATGGGTTGACCCTTTCCTCTAGAGACTATCTCAACACAGTAGCCAGAGGCATCCTTTAAACATAATCTGATGTATCTCATGTCATCCTCCCTTGGAGTAAAAACCAAAGTTCTTACAATGGCCTAGGTCTAAACTTTGTCACAACCAAAACCAAAAGAGAAATACAGTTGGATACATGAAGCACAGTGTCCTTACAATAAAGAACAACCAATTACTAATGAGAAGTACAGCTGTTCTTGGCACTAAGACCAAATAGGAATTTTCTAGGAAGATGGCAGTTGATCTGGTAAATAATAGCCTTACCTGGCCGAGGGAGGTTGGCAGAGCCCTTTTCATACCAGTGGTCCTCAGTGCCCAGGCACTATCATCACTGAAAGCAATACTGCCAAGTCCAGTTGAGGACCCAGCACCTCCAGCCATGTGCTCATCTGCATAAGTGTGTCCTTCAACCAGTTTGCCTTGAACACTTCTCACCATGATACCTTTTTATTAATTACTTCTTTCCATTTGCTACCCACCTCTACCCAGTGAATCCTCTTTATCTTTTCTTTATTTTTACCCAAGTGATTCAAAGCGATGCAAGTATATGATTTAAAAAAAAAAAAAAAAAAAGTATGTGAGGACTGTATTACAAAATTTTCCCACCTTACCCTACTCCCAGCTTCTATATAGAGAAGCCACATTTAAGAATGTTTCATTCTTCTGATGGTTGTCTCTGACTGAATAATATTATATCCATTGACTTCCTTCTCTAAAGGGCACAACTTTAATCATAAGTACTGTCCATTCCCCCAATATTGTACTGTTAGATTATTTTAGCTCTTTTTGTTGTGTACTGTCAAGTCTATTCCAACTCATAGCAACCCTATAGGACAGAGGAGAGCTGTCCCATAGGGTTTCCTAGGCTATAATTTTCGTGATAACAATTCACCAGGTCTTTCTCCCACAGAGCAGCTAGTGGGTTTGAATTCCCAATCTTTTTGGTTGGCAGCTGAGTGTATAACTGTTGCACCACCAGGGCTTCTTATTTTAGCTGTATTCATTATATTAAATATGTTTCAGTCCTTCAAAATACCTCCATTTCTGCACTGTGGCTCCTCTCTTTGCTTTCCCCTCATCTCTATTCCCTCCTTTGCATCTCCCATCTGTCTGCTATATTTTGACTTTGTCATAGCTGATAATGGTCACAATCTGGTCAATTAACTGCAATTATTCTTGTTTTGTCTCTAGATGACTCTAAAATATTGAAAGCAATAAAAAGTACTGACCTTGTAAGTACTGTTCAACCCAAGGCCCAGAAATAAGATCACATTACGGTTTTTTTTTGTTTGTTTGTTTTTGTTTTATTAGGATTTGGGTGAAGATTTACAGAGTAAATTCACTTTTCATACAGCAGTTCACATATACTTTGTCTCATGTCATTGACCAAAATTTACAATGC